GTAAATGGATTTTGATAGCGAGCGTGTTCGTTCCTCAAGGTTTATTATTTAGCGGTGTTTATTGTGTTTCTCTTATCGGTTTCCGAGTGCTGGTAATAGCTTTATTATAGAGATAAAATTGATAAATATCACCAAATGTATAATTAAACGCTGTTTTCCCAGCGGCCCGGCTACCTGAGGAACCTAACATGCGCCCACCTTCAATATTTGGGTCTCCAATTTAATCTCCTTGCTTCATGTCCACAGGTCTGGCTCTAGATTTCTTGAATTGTTTGCAGGTGAATGAGGATATGTTTCAAAATTCATTCCCCAACTGACCAGATGTATCTGTTATTAAAGGTCCCGAGCTACTATATAGATCCTAAGCTACCAGTCCTTTGAAAGATGGCAAGAAAGTCTCCCTTATTCAAGGTTAACTATTTCCTCGTGTTTTAGCTTTTGAAAAGCCATGTAGTATTGAAAAATCAAGATGAACGTCCTAGAATCCCCATAGTCAGGCCGGTATCTGTTGGCGAATCCCAGGTATGTCGATATCTGGAGCAATTTTTTTTTCCCCAAATCCATCCTGGATGGATTACGGAATTGGTTGGTAAAAAGGCAGTTCATTAATAAATTCCTATTACATCTAATGTTGGTTACACATAGAGCTATTACTGTTATGGGCCTATAAAGAAGGTAAATATTCATCCTAATGATTTATATGGTCCTCCGGGAGTATTCTGATATTCCATATACGTCCTGGTTAACTTGGCGGGGGGTACAACAAATATTATGTCACACTGTTCATCTCCTTAATTTTAAATCCTTTTAAATTTAGGCCTGTTCATCCATGCTGCTAGTGGACAGACTCCAATAAACGTTAGTTAGCACTCATCAATTGATTACTTTCCTACATATATATCAGGCCCACAAAGGATTGGACACAAGCACGCAGTCGCTTGTTGGGAAATTAGAACAACAACAGTAGTCCGAAGGATCAATGACCTTATTAACTGATTATGTGAACATTATTTCCACATGGAAAGTGCCTGGGGGGTAATCCAGGTGCCTGGCGAGCGCTAATCAACTCAACGCATGCACCCCCCACTAGCCCCCGATGGCTGGATTGACCAGACCGCCTCGGCGCGCCCCCCTTCATTTTTTCTTTTGATATATCAGGCCTTCTTCTCTCCTTTGGACAATACTCCTCGTTCTTGGTGTCAACACCTGGATATCAAGACTCATTGTGAAGGAACCAGTCGGTGCCCGCGTGTTTACTATTTCTTTCATTTCATCAACCCCGCATCGGCGTACAGAACTCCAAAAATGTCTCTGCCTCCCGTCTACATTGTTTCCTCTGCTCGCACTCCGGTGGGCTCGTTCTTGGGGTATGTGTTTCTTGCTTAAATTCAAGACGGAAACTAACCTATGCTTCTACCAACAGAGCTTTGTCTTCCCAGTCCGCAGCCCAGCTCGGTTCTCACGCCATCAAGGGTCGGCGACTTTTATTCCACGCAGCCACAAACATTTGCTGATCTACAAAACAGGCGCATTGGACAGGGCAGAAGGCATCAATGCCTCTGACGTCGAGGAAGTGATTTTTGGAAATGTTTTGTCGGCTGGGTAAGCGTGCTCGAACCTATTTAGAATCAACCGGAGACTGATTGATAGCTGTTCGCTTGTATAGTGTCGGACAAAACCCTGCCAGACAGGCTGCTCTTGGTGCCGGTCTCCAGGACACCACCGTCTGCACCACCGTGAACAAAGTCTGCGCATCTGGCCTCAAGGCCATCATGCTTGCCACCCAGACCATCCAGACTGGTGCCGCAGACATTATCGTCGCCGGCGGCATGGAGTCCATGTCCAACACCCCTCACTACATCACCAACATGCGCACTGGCGCCAAGTACGGCCACCAGAACATGGTTGACGGCATCATGAAGGATGGCCTGATGGACGCTTACGGCAAGCAGGAACTCATGGGCCTGCAGGCTGAGGAATGCGCTCAGGACTACGGGCTTACTCGCGAACAGCAGGACGAATACGCCATCCGCTCCTACCAAAAGGCCCAAGCTGCGCAAAATGCTGGTCTCTTGGACGGTGAAATTGTGCCAGTTGAGCTCCCTGGATTCAGGGGCAAGCCAGGCGTCACTGTTTCGCAGGACGAGGAGCCAAAGAACGTAAGCTCAGCCGCCTATCACTAATTGCGTGTAAATTTTGTGTCTAACAAGAGCCCTAACAGCTCAACCCCGATAAACTCAAAGCAATCAAGCCTGCCTTCATCCCTGGCACCGGCACCGTGACCGCACCCAATTCTTCACCCCTGAATGACGGCGCCGCCGCTGTCGTGCTCGTGTCCGAAGCCAAGCTGAAGGAACTCAACCTGAAGCCCATCGCCAAGATCCTGGGCTTCGCCGACGCTGCCCAAAAACCCAGCAAATTCACCACCTCCCCGGCCCTCGCCATCCCCAAGGCTCTGAAGAAAGCCGGCGTTACACAGGACGCCATTGATGCCTTTGAAATCAACGAGGCTTTCAGCGTTGTCGCGCTTGCCAACCTCAAACTGCTTGGCCTTTCCGAGGACAAGGTGAACATTCACGGAGGCGCCGTTGCTATCGGACACCCTCTTGGAGCTAGCGGTGCTCGTATTCTTGCCACTCTTTTGGGAGTCTTGAAAGCCAAGAACGGCAAGCTTGGATGCATTGGTATCTGCAACGGAGGCGGTGGTGCCAGTGCATTGGTGCTCGAATCGCTCCAGTAAAGAAAAAAAAATTATATTGCTTGATATCCAAAAGCAAATGGTTAGGGAGGGGGCGCTTCTAAAAGCACATAATGACGGCTTAGATTGACGACAGTAGATGAATAATTTAAACAGAGCTTACAGCCGTATATATTAAATCATCTTTTTTTACTGTTTCTCTCCGGTAGTAGTAAAATTCTAATAGTCAAAATTGGTACACATTATTTGGTATCATCCTATTTCATAACTAATATAAAAAAAATACATGTCATTTCCAAATACGTTGACTGTAGTCAGAACAATCTAAAAATTTTTTTGTCTGCTATGAAAACACACTATGCAAAAGCGCCAACCATGGACATGAGCAAGGCGCCACTGAGTACCGCGAGGCAAGCTTCTACCCTACGCTTGCCTCTGAGCGATTCATAGCTCGAATCACTCAAAAAGTCCTCGGCCAAGAGCTCCACCAGGCCGGCAAAAAGTAGCAGGCCGCTACTGATTGCATTTGTGAACCCTACCATCAACAAGCCCATTGTGCTTGCCGGGTCATACAGGTTGTGCAAGAACAGGCCAAGTGCCTGTCCAATTGGTGTCGTTGTTCCGTATGCGCAAGCCATCAGCCATGGTTTGAGCGAGCTCGGGGGGAAAAGGCCCGGGATTAGAGACGCGATGCGTGAGCCCAGGGCGAAGCCTTCAAAGGTTTGGTGAAAGGAGATGGCCACGAGGAGCACGATGAATGATGTTCCAGTGGCCACGCTGAGTGCCATGCCAATAAAAATACTGTGGAAGAGGATACCTGCTTCGAGCAGGAGGCATTGGAGTAATTGTTTCTGAGGGTTTTGTAGTGGGATGCTCTCGCTGACTCGGCGTTGATGGCCGCCACCACCACCACCTATATTTCGAGGAGAGGATTCAGGGTCGAGGGAATGGGTTTCGTCCGAATACGGATCCAACTCTTCCAGGTCGAGATCATCATCGTCCTTGTCGTGACTGTCATATCCCGGACCCGTCTCTGCGCTTTCAAAGGCGGTATTGCCTCGATAGCTTTCGTGGCGAGAGCTTGTATTCTGGTCAAGCCGGCTGTCTAGCTGTAGATACTCGTCGTCGGCTGTCTCGGGAAATCCATTTCTCATTTCCTCGAGGCCGATTTCGCCAATAAGCTCGTCATATTCTTTCCCATGTATATGTTTTGCGCCCTTCATCGCAAAGAACATTTCGACCACGACGACAAGAAAGACGGCGAGCATCGCAATAAAGCCAGCCATGGCCGGGTAGCCTTTATTCCAGAATCTGGGGAGGCATGGGTTCGTCAGGGAGTTGAAAGCGGTCGGCAGCAAATGCACAAATGCTGTAGCTATGAGGACACCGGTGCCAAAGTGTCTGGAGATGAACAAGAAACGGCGCGGAATGGGTAATCGCGGGAACCGACGTGCCAATATCGGAAAAGAGCATGCTAATTGAGGTAGTCCATCAGTGAGCTGCAAAAGAAAGGAAACAGCATGTCAACACGAACCGACTGTACTGAGGATCAGTATAATAAACAAAGCGATAACATGTAGCGGCGTGTTGTAGTATCCAGCTTTATCTGAGCCACATTCATCGTTTTGCCGGTTGGCCAGTTTGACAGCGACTCGCTGCGGGCTTGAAGAATGAAACGACATCGTGTCCAGAATTGGCAAGGCGCCAGGGGTCTATTGTTATTATCGTTATCATAAGCATTGGCAGAGCCGATATTCAAACCCGGATCCTTGCCTGTTCACGCCGTTATGTCTCCTATAAATGGTGTCTTTCCGTGTCGGTTGAATCAGGCATCTTTCATTGAGTAAACATTCGATGTTTCACGGAGCAGTGCGATGCGAATCGATCAATCTCGCAGGAATCCGAGGAATGAAACACACAATCCAATTAAGAAAACACCAAAAATATGTGGCCGCTAAGACTGATGGTCGAAAGGTTTGGCTAGTGCCGAAGCAGCCATCCATCCCATCGCGACGGCCTCGTCATGAAATCATGTGACCTTGAAACTAGACGGCGGACGCGGACAAATCAACTGTTTAAAATATCCATGTTTACAATTTTATAAGAATTAGTTTTACTTTATTTTTTATTGTTTATCAATAAATTTTAACTAACAGATCAAAAAAGGCTGACATCCCTTTTTCGCGCGAGTGCAGTCCTCGAAAGCGCTGCTATTGGACTCTCCTGCTGTATAGGGTCCACTTTTTATTCGATGGCAGATGATCCGCATGGCCTCCACCCAACTGGCAAAAACAAAAAAAAACGACAACAGCAGGATTCGAACCTGCGTCTCCGAAGAGATTTGATAAGAAATATTAGAAAAATTCAAGTCAAACGCCTTAGACCACTCGGCCATGTTGTCGGTAGGCGAATAGCTTCGTTTTGTTTAGTTAAGCGCCGACATCATATTTCCCGCAGGTAATCTGATAAGCCCGGATTGTATCCACCATAATTCTCGCCATGAATCATGTGATGCTCCGGGTTATCACATAACTTAATGCCGTTTATGCGGACAATGTTAACATGGGAAACTGACAACGCTTCTCATTCTGGATACTATTGCTGCTGAAACTGGTTGACTCTGTGTTCTTCTCATATGGATGAGCCTGTTGTAAGCCTGCCTTATCCTCTGGGCTCTTGAAAACCATGAGGGCGCGCGGTCCGGTCACTGCTAGCAAGTGCCACAATCTAGTCACCTGCCAAAGTGACTGGCAAAATTAAAACCGCTAGCTTTTTTTTACGACTTGTTATCCCTCTCTATATCCCACACGAAAAGCGAAAACCAAATGATTTGAAATGGGCTGCCAAATATGCTCGCGAAACGCCGCTTCCCGATCGTCCTTCTACTGCCCCTCTTGCGCTCGCAGCCATGTGTATATGCTACGATACGAAAACGCCCGCGTCTTGCTTGAAAAAGAATCTATAGGACAAGAGATTGAAGTGTCGATAGTGGGAGATACTGCCGCCAACCGTACGGGTAAGGTTCCGCTGCAGGCAGCCCGCGAAAGAAGTCGGCGATGGACTATCCAAGCTATCCAAACCGAACAAGCTCGAACGGCTGGCCGGGTTCAGTCTATACGCACCCACGCGGAGACTTTGAAAACAGAGATTCAACGGAAAAGGGCCGATGTCAATCATCTGAAATCTCGTCTAAAACAGCGACGTTCCGATGCCGAATCGGCAAAGTTCCAACTGGGTGACCGACGTCATCTGGCGCTATCAAACATTCAAAACCCGATCAAGCGGACGGAGCATCTGTGGCATTCGCTGCATACGAAAACCGCCGAATCTAGAATATTCCTGTGTCGGGAGGCTGCAAGTCTATATCGTCTGCGGCAAAAAGCACGGAGAAAGAATAACTCGGTCGTTGAAAGTTACTGGATTGGCGGTGTTCAAGTGGTTGACTTGAAAGAACTACATGGCACGTTGCGAACAGTGATGCAACGAAAAGATATTTTTAAGCTAACAAAGGACAGGTGCTATGCCTAGCCATATTTCCACGTCATTCTCGAACATTGCTCATCTCCTGGTCCTCGTATCCCACTACCTTTCACTTCGACTACCGGCCGAAATAGTCCTTCCTCATCGGAATCATGCAGCACCGACGATTTTCTCACCCGCGGCATCTTATTCGACACGGGAGACTATAGACTCAGAATACAAGTCGTGGTATCCGTCCAGTAGCCCTACTTCATCGAAACCGACATCGCCTGCTCGTGCTCACCGGCCCCGACCACTATCCGTTGACAAGGCGTTATCAACTCTAATGAAAGAAGACCCTGCGACTTACGCACTATTCATAGAGGGCGCCTCCCTGCTGGCATGGAACGTTGCCTGGCTATGCCGCACCCAGGGCCTACACGTCCGCTCGGACAACTGGGAAACCTTTAGCAACATGGGCAAAAGCCTATGGCAGCTCCTGGTATCCCCTCCAGCTCAGACCCCCAATTCCATCAGAACTGTATCCGGCCACGACCTGCAGTCGAAGCTAAAAATCGACAGAAACTCGCCAAAGACTATTATCCAGCGCACAAAATCCTTCCCCATCTTTGGCCATTACTCCCATGGTACTTCTCACTCGTTTCTGGGCGCCGCAGAAGGCATGGAATTCGTCAAGAGTTGGAAACTCCTGACGCCAACAAAGCTCGCTGACAAGCTCAAGGCTGCCCTGCAGGGCGAAATGGCGAATGCCGAGTGGGAGTTGCTCGACGAGAAAGAGTGGGATGAGGGAGTTGATTTTGGTCCACCTACTACTGCTGCTGCTAGTACTACTACCACCGCCACCACTACTAGTACATCCACTGAAGAACCGTCCAATGATGCCGAAAACAAGGCCGCTGCGAGAGTGTTATAGCGACCGATGTGGAAGGTCAAGATTTTCAAGATACTCGTAGTGATAGAGAATTATATAGCTGAATGTGTGTTAATCTCATATACTTGGATTCCTGTACTCAGATACAGTGCTTATCGATGTTCGTTTTTCTGTTTCTTGTCTACATCGACAAGCAGTGATATTATCTGCACCGCAACACCCAATCGGCAATTCCCAGAGAATGATCCGTGAAGTCCACACCCTTTTTATCACTAGAAAGCGTCGTAAGAAGTGAATACCGGTGGTGGTCATTGGGAATACATCAGTACAAACAAGTAGTAGCACTATAGGGATCGTGATCTTATAGACTATATGTATATGTGGACGGCATGTTTCCAAACCCAGAAAATTGGGGGCGCTGATAACAGTCGTACAAACCAATTGAAAGCAAAGGAATGGTATTATTATTACTCTTTTTCTTTTTTTTATGTCATGTTTCTAATTTGATTATTAACGTTATTGGATTTCTGCAATGCACCAAGAAAGAATTTGCCAAGGTATCGACCGAATTTCTACAACCATTTGGGGTTTGCCAAAGTAAATACCTAGTTAGTTAGTTACTTATTATACTGCTGCTTTCGGTGTCCTGGGGCTCAAGAATAGCAAGGCAGCGAGCCAGCGAGCCATGGAAGCCACAAACATTTCACATCCATAGGACTGGCGTGCTTTGATTTGCTGGCTACAGAGTTCAGCGCAAAAACGCGTCAATCGGCAAAACCTAGCACCGAAAATACGCAAGGCTAGAGAGAGCCCGAAGGGTTACTTGCTACTTTCAATATTACTGTGTACTACTCAATAATAGAGACGTAAAGTTGAAAAGATAAACTATGTTCTATTAGGTAAAAGCCAACAAACTATCCTGCCAGACAAAAAAGCTCAAATGTCTTGAACCCTATTTTATGTCGCGAGCAGGTGTAGATTTTGAAAAACCCGATTGCTTCATACAGTAGTCATAATGAGAAGTTCATGGAAAAGCTTTTCAAGTGAGCTCAATCAGATAGAAAACGTAAAGAGGAAAAAAAAAGGAAAAGAAAAACAAAAGAAAAAACACTTTTCCCATATTCATCCAGGGTTCAATAATAAAATAATAGGAAAAAAAAAATCTTTAAAAGCTAAAAAAAATTTAGCGGGTAGCCATGGCTTTCGTGATGAGTCGCTTGAGGGCGAGCTCCTTCTTCTTCAGGTCATCAGGCGTAGAGTCATCAATTTCGAGCTGGCCCATGGCATCGCTCAAGGCCGACTCGATCTTATCCTTGTTTCCTCGCTTCAGCTTCAACGACATAGTGGGGTCTGAGATGATCTCCTCCACGCGGGAAATGTAGGATTCGAGCTGTTGGCGAGCTTCGAACTTCTTGCTGAAAGCCTCATCGCTGGACTTGAACTTGGCAGCGTCTGGAGTATACGTTAGATATTTTTCTCATACATTTTTTTTTGGGAGAAATATTATGTGCTTACCCTCAACCATCTGCTCGATCTCGCTGGTGGAAAGTTTACCGACAGCGTTGGAGATGGTGATGTTGGCAGTGCGGCCAGACGACTTCTCGGTGGCGGTGACCTTGAGGATACCGTTGACGTCGACCTCGAAGACGACCTCCAAAGCAGCCTCACCGGCCTTCATGGGGGGGATAGGAGCCAAGGTGAACTCTCCGAGGGAGGTGTTGTCCTCGCAGTTGGTACGCTCACCCTGGTACACGGGGAACTGCACGGTTTGTTGGTTGTCAACAACAGTGGTGAAAGTGCGCTTCTTAAGGCAAGGCACAGTGTTGCCGCGAGGAACAACAGGGGCGAAGATGTTACCCTCCATGGCAACACCAAGGGACAGGGGAACGACATCCAGAAGGAGGAGGTCAGAGGTCTCAGCGCTGGTAGCCTTGCCAGAGAGGATACCGGCCTGGACGGCGGCACCGTAGGCGACGGCCTCATCGGGGTTGATGCTCTAATACCCGTTAGAACTACGGAATCGTGGAGGTATATAAATTAGTATCTCACCTTCTCGAGCTTCTTTCCGTCAAAGAAGTCACTGAGGAGCTTCTGGATACGGGGAATACGAGTGGAACCACCAACGAGAACGATCTCGTCAACGGCGCTCTTCTCAATGCCAGAGTCCTTCAGGACCTGCTGGACAGGGTCCAGGGTACCGGCAAATGACTTGGCGTTGAGGTCCTCGAAACGGGCCCGGGTGATCTGGGCAGCAAAGTCCTCACCATCGAAGAGAGAGTCGATCTCGACGGTGGTCTGGGTAGCGTTGGAAAGAGTACGCTTGGCACGCTCGCAAGCGGTACGGAGACGACGCAGAGCACGAGAATCGCCAGAAAGATCTGAGTCGCGTCGGTTAGCATCTTGTTTTGGGATACGGCCAATGAACTGCCTGTGTATATTGGAATTGGAAAGAGATATTGCATCCAACTAACCTTTTTTCTGTAACAAACAATTGATATTAGCAAATGATCCCTTTGTTCTTGCAGTGTCCAGTGCAACTTACAGTCTTGCGTTGGAATTCCTTCTTGAAATGCTCAAGCAGGTTGGTGTCAAAGTCCTGACCACCAAGGTGAGTGTCACCAGCGGTAGCCTTGACAGTGAAAACACCACCCTGGATGTTGAGGAGGGAGACATCGAAAGTACCACCACCCAAATCGTAGATGAGGACATTGCGCTCCTTGTCAGACTTTCCGGAGCCGAGACCGTAAGCAATGGCAGCAGCGGTAGGCTCGTTGATGATACGGAGGACGTTCAATCCAGCAATGGCACCGGCATCCTTGGTAGCCTGACGCTGGTTGTCGTTGAAGTAGGCGGGGACAGTGATGACAGCCTTGGAGACCTTCTTGCCGAGCTTGGTTTCGGCAACTTCCTTCATCTGCACAGGGAGTTAATCATGATGGAATGTAATTCACATGTTAACAAGAGAAAAGTTTACCTTAACCAGGACCATGGAGGAGATTTCCTGGGGAGAGAAAGTCTTGGTTTCACCAAGGTACTCGACCTCGACGACG